GTGTCTTAATAAAATAACTTCCTCTTACAATAACTACTATTCTTTTCTAATTGCTCACTGCACGTTTATCTAGTCCCGTTAAAGTTTTTGCTGTACTTTGGTTCTGCTCAAATTTTGGTCATAGTGATCGTCAGGAAGAGTTGATGCTTTTATGTTAGTATTAAATTTATATTATTATATATACATGTTATATATTTTTATTAATTTTTATTATAGAAAACTGTACGTAAAGCAATTTGGGAAAAGATGGAAACAATTAAGTATCTATCAAATGAACATCTTGAAATTGTATCAAAAACGGCTCTTAAAAATTACAATAAGAGTTAGTTAGAAGCTGTTCTTATAAATCTTTCATGGAAAAGTATATGGAATAATAGTATTACACCTGCTATAAGTTTTTTAATAATAATAAAATCGTCTATTTTTAATTAAACTATTTTTTTTTTAATAGACAAAAGAAATTGCCCGGGAGTATCAAAGCGAATAAAAATTAAAGTAAAGAAAGCATTGACAGAAGTATTTGGTAAAAAAAGATTTCCACCAATTGAAGAAGCATGCCTATCAGTTGATCAAATAAATGTATGAAAACTCAAAGATACGATTCAAGCATGCTTTGTAGATCTAGAAAGTCCAAAAAATCCAGACAATCCAAATTTTACTTGGCAGCTTGCTGTTCTTGAGCAAGTTTATCCAGAAGAAACTACTAAAAATAATATTGCATTTGCAGTGTTTGTATTGACATTATTTGCAATGCTGAATATTCTGGATATGAATTATAGCAAAAATATGTTGTTCATGAAATGAATTTAGCTCTAAAAGGAATGGAATCAGATGAATTGGAGATTGAGATTGAATGTGAAGGAAACAAAGCTAATTATATTGAAGAGGAGGAAGAATAAATATGCCTAACATTAAAGGTATCTGCTAGCATTAGTGTTACATATCTAATTATATATATATATATATCGTACAGTACATATATGTATGCATGCACATACAAGTAGATCGCTTATCTAAATTAAAATTCGTGTCTTTTAGTGCTACAAATTAATAAAAATTTTCTAATCGATTAGTTGACAACCCATTTTACCCAACTAATCGATTAATCAATTTTATTTCAACTAATCAATTAGTTGACCAATCGATTAGTCGACTAATCGACTAATCGATTAGTTGACAAATCGATTAGTCGACTAATTGACCAATCAATTAGTTGATTAATCGATTAGTTGACCAATCGATTATTCAATTAATCAACTAATCAATTGATTAACTAATTGATTAGTTACTTTGTGTATCCAAAGCATATGCCAGGATAATAATTTTTTTGCTATTAGAAAAGATTTGTAAATAAATATATATTATTTATATATGATTATGACATTATAATCAATTAACCAATTAATTGAATTAGCGATTAGTTGACTAATCGATTAGTTGACCAATTGACTAATCAATTAATCAATTAATCGATTAATCAACTAATCGATTAATCGACTAGTCAACTAATCAATTAATCGACTAATCGATTAATTGACTAATTGATTAAGTTGGATTGGTAAAATAGAATCGATTAGTTGTCAACTTGATCAACTAATCGATTTTTCAACTTTCGATTTGTAGTACTAGTGTCTTTTAATTTTTTTTTTTTTTAATATAAACCCCTACTATGGGAACACCGGAGTCTTTTAATTTTTTAACAACTTAACACTCACGAGATTGAAGACTGTAAGTCTTAAAAGATTTAAAACACTTTAATATTTTAAAGACTTAAACTACTTTAAAACTCTAATACTTAAATACTTTCAATATTCATTGCTCTTAAAAGATCTGTAATACCAGGATGTTAGATCAAACAGAGTAGTACGGTATTTCTTTTGTTGTCAAAATTATTTAATCTTGATATAAATTAGGATTACTATCGCTATTTTGTTTTAACTTAACTCCCTTTTTTTATTATATAACATTCAACTAATTTATATTTATTTTAAAGTTTTCTTCTATCTATATATAGATCTAGCTTTGCTGAGTTGAAATTGAGCATCTTTCGGTTTAGCTCTTTCTTTTTTCCTACCTATACATATAACTAGCTTTACCGGGTTGGAATTGAGTGTCTTTCAGTTCACTCTTTCTTTTTTTCTACCTATATATAGAACTAGCTTTACCGGGTTGGAATTGAGCATCTTTCAGTTCGCTTTTTCTTTTTTTTCTACCTATACATAACCGGGTTGAAATTGAGCGTCTTTTGGTTTACTCTTTCTTTTTTTTCTACCTATACATAGAACTAGCTTTGCCGGGTTGAAATTGAACGTCTTTCAGTTCAGCTCTTTTTTTTTTTCTACCTATATATATAACTAGCTTTGCCGGGTTAGAATTGAATGTCTTTCAGTTCAGCTCTTTCTTTTTTTCTACCTATACATATAACTAGCTTTACCAGGTTGGAATTGAGCATCTTTCGGTTTGGCTCTTTCTTTTTTTCTACCTATACATAGAACTAGCTTTACCGAGTTGGAATTGAGCATCTTTCAGTTCACTCTTTTTTTTTTTCTACCTATACATAGAACTAGCTTTACTGGGTTGGAATTAAGCGTCTTTCGGTTTGCTCTTTCTTTTTTTCTACCTATACATAGAACTAGCTTTACCGGGTTGAAATTGAGCGTCTTTCGGTTTGCTCTTTCTTTTTTTTCTATCTATACATAGAACTAGCTTTGCCGGGTTGGAATTGAACGTCTTTCGGTTCGGCTCTTTCTTTTTTTCTATCTATACATAGAACTAGCTTTACCGAGTTGAAATTGAGTGTCTTTTGGTTCGCTTTTTCTTTTTTTCTACCTATACATAGATCTAGCTTTACCGGGTTGGAATTGAGCATCTTTCGGTTCGCTCTTTCTTTTTTTTCTATCTATACATAGAACTAGCTTTGCCGGGTTGGAATTGAACGTTTTTCGGTTCGGCTCTTTCTTTTTTTCTACCTATACATAGAACTAGCTTTACCGAGTTAGAATTGAGCGTTTTTCGGTTCGCTCTTTTTTTTTTTTCTACCTATACATATATCTAGCTTTGCTGGGTTGGAATTGAACATCTTTCAGTTTGGCTCTTTCTTTTTTTCTACCTATACATAGAACTAGCTTTACTGGGTTGGAATTGAGCATCTTTCGGTCTTTTTTTTTTTCTACCTATACATAAAACTAGCTTTGCTGGGTTGGAATTGAGTGTCTTTCGGTTTGCTCTTTCTTTTTTTTCTACCTATACATAGAACTAGCTTTACCAGATTGGAATTGAGCGTCTTTCAGTTCACTCTTTCTTTTTTCTACCTATACATAGAACTAGCTTTGCCGAGTTGGAATTGAGCGTCTTTCGGTTTGCTCTTTCTTTTTTTTCTACCTATACATAGAACTAGCTTTGCCGGGTTGGAATTGAACGTCTTTCGGTTCAGCTCTTTCTTTTTTTCTACCTATACATAGAACTAGCTTTACCGGGTTGGAATTGAGCATCTTTCGGTTTGCTCTTTCTTTTTTTTCTACCTATACATAGATCTAGCTTTGCTGGGTTGGAATTGAACGTCTTTCAGTTTAGCTCTTTCTTTTTTTCTACCTATACATAGAACTAGCTTTACTGGGTTGGAATTGAGCGTCTTTTGGTTCGCTCTTTCTTTTTTTTCTACCTATACATAGAACTAGCTTTACTGGGTTGGAATTGAGTGTCTTTCGGTTCGCTCTTTCTTTTTTTCTACCTATACATAGAACTAGCTTTGCCGGGTTGGAATTGAGCGTCTTTCGGTTCACTCTTTCTTTTTTTTCTACCTATACATAGAACTAGCTTTGCCGGGTTAGAATTAAACGTCTTTTGGTTCGGCTCTTTCTTTTTTTCTACCTATACATAGATCTAGCTTTACTGGGTTGGAATTGAGCGTCTTTCGGTTTGCTCTTTCTTTTTTTTCTAACTATACATAGATCTAGCTTTGCCGGGTTGGAATTGAACGTCTTTCAGTTTAGCTCTTTCTTTTTTTCTACCTATATATAGAACTAGCTTTACTGGGTTGGAATTGAGCATTTTTTGGTTCGCTCTTTCTTTTTTTTCTACCTATACATAGAACTAGCTTTACTGGGTTGGAATTGAGTGTTTTTCGGTTCGCTCTTTCTTTTTTTTCTATCTATACATAGATCTAGCTTTGCCGGGTTGGAATTGAACAAACCAATCTTTCAGTTCTTTCTTACCTTGTTCTCATGAGAGGCTTCTACCACGTATATAGACTTTGCCGGATTGGAATTTAATAGGCTTGTCTTTTGGTTCTTTCTTTCTTCTATTGTGTATATAGTTTTGGCTTTTCCGGGTTGGAACTAATCTTTCAGTTTTTTCTTTCTTCTATTGTGTTCATAGATTTAGCTTTGCTGGTTAGAATTTAATAGGCTTGTCTTTCAGTTTTTTCTTTCTTCAACCGTGTATGTTGATTTAGCTTTGCCAGGTTGGAATTACACAAGCTAATCTTTTGGTTCTTTCTTTTTTACTTCTACCACGAATATAGACTTTGCCAGGTTAGAATTTAATTGGCTTGTCTTTCAGTTTTTTTTTTCTTCAACCATGTACGTTGATTTAGCTTTGCCGGGTTGGAATTGAACATGCTAATCTTTCGGTTCTTTCTTACATCTACTACAAATATAGACTTTACTGGGTTGGAATTTAATATGCTTGTCTTTCGATTCTTTCTTTTTTTCTACTGTGTACATTGATTTAGCTTTGCCAGGTTGGAATTGCACAAGCTAGTCTTTTTTTTTTTTTTATACTTTACATAGGTTTTAGTATTATCGGGTTTGGCTGTTTATGCAAATTTAATTTATCGCTTCATT